GAATTATGAGTTTGTACTTCTTTAACTGACTAAACAGAGATCATGATTTTATTAGTATTAATAAAGTGCAATAGTTAGTTTCTGAAAAATAAGGGGTGTCGCTTTAGGAGACCTATGTCAATATCGGCGACTTTCCTCTATTCTGTGTGTATATTTTCAATTTTTTCTCTTTTGGCATTTTGAAATTCATTCTACAAAAAGCACAATAATTTTTACATGCTTACTGAAACTATTTACAAAGAAAATATTACGTACAGGCACAGGTTAGAAACGCAGTTTTCTGTGAATGTGAACAATTAATAAGTTGCTTATAAAAGATACATTCATCTTAATAAATAAATTTATGATAACTATGTTAAATAACAATTTAATAAATGTAAGTTAATGATAATACTTACGATTGTCCAGTTCAGTGACACTCTATCATGTCACGTCATGTGCGTACGTTCAGCAACGTAGGCACAACGAATCGAAGTGACATGTATCAATAACGGAACGCGCGTTCAGTTATCAGACTCCTACCAATTATACGTACCTATTTATGAACGTCTTAATATTTAATAAAAAATAAAATTTTTTTGCAATTTCTTTTAATAGATTTTATTCATTAGATATTTCTAATGTTCAAAATGTAGGTTATACCTAAATTATACAGTAAATTATATGTAAATTTGCCTATGATTTAATATGTACGTTTCTAATCAAAATGATTAAGAATCTATTCAGGAACATCGTTCTATGTTTCCAGAGGAAAGAAAAATATTTTTTTAAAATCCAAATAATATTTCACGTACAAAATGTCTTTTCCATCAACATCTAGACACTTTAATTTATTTCATATATACATACTTGTTTAAATCTGAATTAAAAAAAGCTTAATACTAATAAAAACGTATACTTTTGTTCAGAAATTGATACGTTTACCTTAACTAATTGTAATAAGAAGCTGAGAAGCATATTAATTGCTTCTATAAAATGTAATAATATAGAAAATAAAATGTTTTCCCAAAATGTTTCATGATAAAGTTGAAAATATTCTCATGCAAATTAAATAAAGCTTTTGAAATTTTTTTATAAAAAATAAGTACGTGTAATTAATCAAAACTCTGGTTAATCAAAAATGTAATTATTTCAGCAATTTTTATATTTACTTTTTAATAATTATTAATCATTTTTTGACCGAATAAAATTTTATTAAAAAATTTTTCAATATTTTAATTAGAAAAGCATGTAGTGTTCCCTTATTTATGATTTATACACTTTTATGGTTACATCTGGAAACGGCATACAGCAAAATACCAAATAAAACCGCACTGACGCAATACCGATAAAAATTTAAAAACATGACGAGCTTTGCTTCCACATTCTCCACTTTTGTGAGGTTTGAAATTTTTTAAAATTTTGTTAAAACAATGATCAGCGTACAAGAAGCGGAGGAAGAGATCGATCGCGGTACAATACCGTTTAAACGGGAAAGTATAAGCGAAGTATCTATGGAATATCCGGCGTGTCGTATTTCCGCATGACATATCGATTCGTCCTCCCCCCTTTCATTGTTCATCGACACCGACATTGTTCCGATCTGCGGTTTTTTCCCGCGGTAATCGTTAAGTGCGTAACAGCCATCGCGCAACAGATAAGCCTTTTAACACTTCACGGACTCAGCGCTGTATAATGCACGCGCGCGATTCGTCGTCGTGCCGGGGCGTCGCGTTGTGCGTTATTGAGTGGAAGACTGATAACGGCGGCAGAGAAGCCGCCCTCTACGTAACATCGCGGCTGCAACGACGAAATGCAACCGCGATAACAGCGTAATCGAGAACATAGCGGACATAGAGCGGGGATGTTATTGACATGATCATCGACGTTGCGTGAGAGGCGACGCATTCAGAGAGCGATTTTTCTCGGCGATACTGATTTCTCCACTATGATTGTGAGGGAGAAAAAAATTATTGCAATTATCTTAATTTAATTTATCATTATTTTCGTTGCAGCTGTACATTTTTTTCTATAGAATTATAAATATAATTATTGTTACATTATAACAGTGATAAGTGTAAAAATAGAACCGTAGTTATTTTATCATGCAATTGTAGTCACAAATATCAAACACTTTTCTCTCAACATGAATTTTATCTCAATGAAGATTTCATTGACAGAAATAAAAATCAATGAATATTTCACTTATCTTCAATGCGAACACTTATACTTTGCTTTTTTTCTCTCTTATCTCATAATGCGGCCAGTGGAAATAAAATGTTAAATAACTCTGATAGAAATGTATGCAGTTTTCCTAGATATGTATCCAAACTTACTATCTAATATTACTGTATTCTCATTAATTGTGCTAATGCTGAGGAGGAAATGGACAAAAACTTGATAGAATTTTATTCAGTGATTGAAGCAGTTTTCCTGGTAAAGGTTTGTGCAAAAACGTCACAAAATTTATATCTATATAGACTGAGAAACAAGCATATACCTATTTTTAAATTAAAATTATTTTTTTTACTTTTAAGATTGCTGTTTACAGTTAATAATTTAATATTGATTGAATCAGTATGTAATCTACTACTAATACTCTACTACTAATTCTTTTTACTAACAACTAAATCCTTTCAGAGAGATTTTACTGAATGCAGTAGCATTATATGCTAGAAATTGCTGTTATACTTTGTTCTGCTTTAAACGATAGCATATTGTTTTTGTTTAACTCCTTGTTCGTATAATGAATTATATAGTATATTTTATCATGTTTTGTACCATGGTAAAATTTTCATTGTTATAAGCATATAATAAAAAAGCATTATGTAACACGTGATTAAATAATATTCTCAAGCGTGGATGTGTTAAATTGCACATTTTTTATTTTACATCGTAATCTATTTATATCAATAACAATTTTATACTCCAACCATCGAATGACGCTACAGTTTGACCTTGGCCTTTTGTAAACGTCACTCCCAATCAAAATTTTATTTCAAATGATATTTATTTTTTACATATGTTGAAAAATTTCGATAGCTTCGGCCATTAGTAACCACTAGAGCGTCATCGAAAATGCCGATTACAGATATGATGACCACAGCGATCGGCACGTTAAAAAGAATAATCCTCGAGCGGCATCATGTTCAAAATCGGAATATAAGACGTTTTTAAAACGTTATTTAGACATCATAAAGAGAATTAGTCTTCTCTCGGGTCTTAAGTCTTTAAAATGTCTTTAAGTCTTATGCGGGGTCTACAATAGAAGTCATAGAAAATTGGCCAATCATGGTTGATTATTCTTCTCATATTCGATTGTGATTGATTAATTTAGACCCCGCATTATATCCTAATTTTAGACATATACCCTGTTATCTGGGATCATCGTGTACCTGTATATACAACACACATTACCCAAGCAGAACAAGTCACGATAACGTCAAAATGATATTAAAATGTAACGGAAATGAAAGTGAAAAATGACTTTTAATGATAATGGAGTCATTTTGACATGATTTTGATTATGATTTGTTGTTCCGTAGGGGGGATCCGTAAGTGTCCTAATCCTCGAAGAAACGCGATTGTTTGCGCACGCATGACGCAGCAATCCCACGTGTGCTCTTTTATTGTTTACGCTGTAATCGCGACGACGCGACGCGACGTTGACGGCACAGTCGTTTTTGCGTGCCAAGCTCCCCCCGTGTTAAGATCCACGTGTTGGCAACGGAACGCTATCCGGCTTATCTTCGACGGCGTTTTATCTGTTACATACTTTATGCAAGTCCGACTCGCATTCCTTTCATCGGTAACAAATGAGCCGCCGGTGTGCGGTATACCATACATATATACGAAGCCGCGTTACGCCGCGGCCGTTGGCAGCTGAACGGAGACAGCGCGCGCAAATCGATGCTCGCGCGCGCATTGATTTATTAACGCGATACGCCGGTCGCACCGCGCACCATACGGTAACGTCACACTCGCTCGGTATTGTGATACACTGGCTGCCCGGTAATAAATGCGAAAAAGCTGAAATAACTTTTTTTTTCCACTTCTCCGAGATCTATTTCTGGATCTTGAATACCTCGTCTCGAGTTCGATTCATTGAACTTCTCTGCTAGTTTTTGTATCGAATCCCACAGATTTATCTCGACTCACAATTCTGCTATAATGAAATCATTGAGATAATTGAAGATCCAGATGTTCTATTTCTAGTTTATTTGCAATTGCAATTGTTAATTAAACGCTAAGAATAACGCTGGTATCGATGTGCTATGATAATTTGCAAACAGGAAAACTATATGTATTATTAAAACTAGATACTGAAATTTCGGAGCACATTTATAATGGTTGATAGCTTGCAGCACACCAATAATAATAATAATTGACAGCGAGGTAGATTAAAAATTCGACCGCGGTGGTGCAAGCGATGGAAACAGGGTGAAGAAGAAACTCGAGTTTCCCCGAAAACGACGTTACGGAATAAAGGGTTAAGTAGTTGTGGCGTCTGGGACGCGACATCAACGCGGCAGCCAGAGGAAGAGACTCGACTCGCAGCTGTATCGGCTTGCGGCCGGGCCCATTAGCGTGACGCGATGCATCGTCTACATAAATACCCACCGACGCTGCGCGGCCGGTACCACCGGTTGCCACTTTGCGGCAACGCGAACGAGCGAGCGAAGAGACAAGCTAACAGACGACAAGCAAAGCAACGCACGAGCGACCGGGCGCAAGCGCTCTGACGTAACGTTATATCACTCTCGAGGCTTTATACATACTCTATCGAGAGGAGGCCGTCTCCCTTCCCTCTACCCCAAGCGTGGGGCTCCATGTGGCGCCTGAGCAGCGCCGGTGGGGGTACAGCTCTCCTCTTCTGCGAGACACCCTCGGCCTCGGCTCGCGCTCGGCGGCGACGATGTCAAACTCAGTCGCGAGCCGAGTATCGTGTCGCTCGTGTGTGTGTCGTATCGTATCGTATCGTACCGTACCGTACCGTACCGTACCGTACCGTATCGTACGTCGTGTCGTGTCGCGTCGCGTCATCGTGCGTCTCCGTGTTGCGCGCGCGATACGATAAGACAAAGGGCCGCCGCGTTATCTCGCGGCCTCTCTCGCACGTGAGAGAAAGAGAAAGCGAGAGTGAGAGAGATAGACCGAGCACACACGTCAGGTTCGTCTCCACGATTCCCCCCCCCCCCCCCTCTCTCTCTCTCTCTCTCTCTCTCTCTACCTACCTTGTTGTCACCTTGCGATCGTGTAGGATGGAAAAAATAGTCGAGTGAATTTAATTCGCGCAAATAATGTTCTCTCTCGCGGATCCTTGATTTTCTCTCGTGTGCATGCAACGCTCCACGTTATATCTCGTCGTCGTCGCCGCCGGCGCCGGCTTCACGAGTATTGAAGCTTTTCACGAAATACTCCGATATCAGAATGATTTAAACCGCAAGCCGCGACGATGGATTCTCACGGAGCGGTTCCCGGTCCTTTTTCAACATCGGGAATATCGGGAGGGATATCGGAAGATTTGGTATACGTGCGTGAGCCAAAATCGATAACCCGTTGGGCAGACACACGAAACGTTCTGGCAGACGCGGCGCCACGCCACGCCACGCCACGAGTCGCGACACTGTGCGAATTATACGTACACGTTTAACCCTTAAACTTCTCTCCGGTGCGAATTTTCACATCGAGGATGCCAAGAATCCGTAGTACGCCATCAGTGTCTTTATCTCTTCTTCTGCTTGTATTTCCAATTTTAAATAAAGATTGTTGCCTTGCTTAAATCAAGACTGTTATACTTTACTTTACATCTTGCTTTATATTTCAAGCACTATTGTTGTTAATACATTAAAATCAAAAGTATAACTATTGATTTGAAATAATTTAAATATTTTCCAATCATTTTCTCTGTATGCATATAATTAATTTTATGTAAATTCAGCAATGTTAAAAACTCGACGTATATGATTGAATTTAGAATTTAAGGGTTAAACGCGTATATTTTTTATCGGCACCCTTGGCTTTCAGTTATCACAAAATATATTTTCATAATAGGCGTAAATTATGAAGAGATATAATTAGCTTTCCGAGTCAGACAATACAGGATGTTTCATAAATGGTATAATTAGGAAGAGGGTGATTATACACGAAAAAATAAATTTTAAATGTAGATTAAAATTTTTTCATATGATATTTTGTTTTTGAGAAATTTGATTTTCTCGAAAATATTCGCCGGGTATCTCGACTTATAACAGATCACGCTGTAGACTATTTCTGTTCATGTTTGTATTTATTGTATTGGGTAATCGAGAATATACACAATAAAACAGGATATTCATGCACGATGAATTTTATTACTTGATAAATTGTTGAAAATATTGCCCGAAAATAAAATCTTGTATGAAAAAATTTTATTTTACATTTTAGCTTATTTTTTCATGTAAAATCATTTTCTGGTTGTACTACCAATTTAAGAAACATCCTGTATATCTCTGTATATATCTGCACAGTAGAATGTAACGCTTTACAAATTTTGATTTCGCCGCGACGTGCAAAATCTCGTTTTTTGTTACCATCATTGAAACAGCCACGTGCCCCCGATCGATATAGGTTAACGAAGTTCGCACGTGCAACGATTATGTAGATCGTTAATCGCCGTTGGCGACGAGCTAGAAAAGTGACGGAAGCGGAAATATAAAAGCTGAGGGGAGTTGATGTAGAAGGAGAGGGATAACGGGAAGAGGGAGATGAAATGAGAGAGCGTGTGATATCCCAGGAATGCACACAACAATCGCGGATACCAGTCCACATAACTGAAGGAGAAGCATGCGATGTGTACAGCACACACACACAGAGAGATCGTAACCCGGGTGCAGTCCCGATAGTGCTGATGCATCCCGGCGCTTCGAGAATCGCCACCGATCGCGTTGTCCTAACATCGTGTTTCCATGTAGGTACCTAATAATATAAGTACACAATACTCCCTGTACTGTCTGCGCGCGCATATGGATTTTCGTGAGGAGAATTTAAGTTTGCATTTTCATTACATGTGCCGCCTTGTGCGTTTCATAACGAGGCGTTTAGCGAACAAAACAAACGTGCATATACTTATACATATAAACAGCCGCATAGTTTTATTCGAAAGCTGGAACACGTATTTTTGCGACGAGCAAGATGCAAGGAATTTAAAATTTTACTACCAACTTTTGCTAAAACTACAGTCTGAAAAATATTTTTGTAGATTTAATACCATGCGGTGTATCTATGTAAATTTTCACTCTATTGGTATTAATATTGACATCGAACCTATGGATTTTAAATCCACACACATGAGGATGTGATGTAAACACCAGGGGTGTTCACAAATCCACACCAGGTTGGTAGTTAATACTAACACCAACACGGGGAGACTTATACAAACACCGCGTATTACATCTACTCCGATTTTTTTAGAGTGCATCGATTGGAAAGCGATGCGTTCTGTGTTTTCAATTAAGAGGATTGCGTTGTCTGTTGCAATCAAGACACGTCTTATTGGATTGGTACACAGTCCGGAGAAATCCGGAGAGATACATGAAGATGGGATGATAGTTATTTCGAATCCAATCGGTGGTGCTTTGCCCGCCGAACCGGCGAAACAGACTGGACCAGATGTTGTCTAAATCCGTACCATCACGTCGACATGAACCTTTCTCCGCGTCTCTCTCTTTTGCTTCTCTGGTACTACCGAGTGCAGAGCCATTTTCCATCCTTGCTACTACTCTAGCTGTCACCGTCAAGACCAAACATGCGAAGATTCCTTATCTTTCTATCTAAACTAAGGTATATATCGGCAAAACTTTCCACTTGTCACATTTGAAAGTTGAAAAAAATTCTTCCATGTTCAAGTGAATTATTTACTAAAAGTAGAAATTTTAGACGCGATCGATTGGCACGCACATAACACGTAAAGGGATAATTCCAATGACATCAGAAATTTGAATGAATTTATCACCGCGCCAGTCGCGTGCGACGAGCGACGACGGACGGCGCGGCGCGCGCGTGTATTTCTGGCGGAACGTCAAGTGGGAAAGAAGAGTATTCAAGAGTATTTCTCAAAGCGCGATTGAGAGGTGCGCATTGAGAGGGTTTCCTCGCAAAGGTCGAGTTTCGAGGGACTCGAAACGCGAATCGAATGTCATTTACACGTTCTAAATTCCTAACCTTTTCCGCAAGAGCCGAAAGAAAACGTACACTGAATCGCGATTACAGTTGTCGATGCAACTAATGTATGTGGACGTCGTTATTCTTGCTGAAAGGATTAATGCGCGAATTTAAACATATCGAACTTTTGTTTCTCTTGCTTTAGCATCACCCGAGAAGGTCATTTAATATGATTCGATGGTTTGGAGAGAGTTTTTCCTTAGCGTTCTAAAATTTTATTTGTTTATTTATTTAATGACGCGCGAAAGTCCGAGATGATATTTACTCATTGTCAGTGTCAATCGCGCGTAAATTTGTTTTCTTACATGTAAACTTTCGTTTGCTGTTCCATTATTAAATATTTATCTTCGTTAAAAAATGAATCTTTTCTTTTCACTTCTTATTCTAAAGACTATAATAAATCGTGATTTTTTAAAGATTTTTACTCTTCCGCCGATAATGATGGATTTAAAGGCACGATTGATTTTTTAGTTGATAAATTTCTGATTCATAAATTTAAATCTGTAAAAAATAAATAAAATTGAAATTCTATGATAGTAAAAATTCGTTGAAGCTTCCACAAGTATGTAAGAATTTTTTCAGGATTTTATCTAGTCTCTGTAGTCTCAACAATATAAAGACCCAGGTTATAGACGAAGAGTGAAAATTTCACATTGCCGATGAAGATTTGAAGATTTTCAGAATCTTATTTATATGTATACGCGAGAAAGACCAAATCCAATTTCGCGACGTCAATACGTTGCTAAGGCAATTGCCAGTTTCAGTTGCGTCGTTGGGTTTACCGTTTCGGTTTTACCGCACATACTATAAAACCGTACGAATCGAATGTCCAAGTTTACGGTTTGTTATGCGGAACGACAAATCACTTCAGACATTGTCGTTGATAGGCGAAACGATTACGTTGAAATCCTGCAATAAATCGCACGCGTGACACATTGGCACAAAACCGTATTTATTTCTCATATCGCTGCGTACGATTAATGTGTTTGTCCTTTGTAATTGTCATCATACAAAAACCCTATACATTATCAAGTTTTAAAATTCTTTATATCTTTATCTTAATCTACTTTATAATATCTACTTTATTTATCAGCATCAGTGATATTAAATTGATTATAATTAACAATGTAATATTACATTTTCAATTTTGGCGTAAAACTCCGTTTCGAGTTAGTAATTGATGTGGTTCAAAAGTGTAAAATGACATATACACTAAGAAATGACATATACCCATTTAGTTGAATCAATTATTTTCTTATTTGGATTTGGGTAAACAAATTTTGGTTGATGCAATAAAATAATTTAGTTGAAGCAAAGCATTTGGTTATTGTAACATTTTACTTGTTTCTGATAAACATTGATATCTGATAAAGTTGTTTACTAGAAACAAATAAAATGTTACAATAACCAATAGTTTTGCTTCAACTAAGTTATTTATATTGCATCAACCAAGGATTTGTTTGCCCAAATTCAAATAAGAAATTAATTGATTCAACTTAATGGGTTTCTCAGTGTACATATGAAATTTTCAAAAATTATTATACAGAAAGAATAATTTGATGTATACTAAAGTATATAAAAATTTAGCTATATACAAATTTTGAATATGATTTTGTTGGACCATCAAAATAAATATGTAGAATGATGATAATGCTACAAAAAAATTTTAGCTTTCTAGCAACCAGCTTGAGTGTCATCTCTCCGGTTTTCGACCGGAGACTTCGGCTTTTTAACTAAATCTCCGGCTTTTTGACCAAATCTCTGACTCTTCGGCATACAGAAAAAATTCGTTCAAAATTTTAATAGTCTTTTTGTGAGTCCCCCGCACGTTGATTTTTGGAAAAATATCTCCGGTAGGAAAGTCAGATCTGATAATCTTTTCTTTTTTGGAGAATGCACTACAAAACGCATTACAGCAAAATTTAATAATTTTTGACGATAGCAGTCGACCTCCGGTAAGACTGTGGTAATCTCTGGCAAAAAAACCAAATCTGATGAGTTTTTTTTTTAGAGATCGCACTAAAATAATTTTAATTTTGGCGACTTAATACTCATTCGTAATTTCCAGCAGAAGATTTTCAGTTGAACTAGTCGAGAGATGACAACTATTGGTATACATAATTATTTTGATGATTCAACAAAATTATCTTCAGATCTGTATCTAATTAAATTTTCAGCGAAATCATTTTTTCTGTGTAGGCATATGATTCCGCTTGATTACAGAAAGTATCAATATTTGAGGAGCAGACTTTCAAAACGCATTTCATCCAAAATTTCATTTTTTTAGATAGAGATGGCGTAGTGTTCAGTATTGTATGACTTACATTATAAGCTACTTTGAGATATTTATTATTATCAGAAAACATTTTTTTATCGTTAATTTATATGCTAAAAAAACATAGACATTTCAAAGTGCATTAGGGGGTAATTAGTACGGTATATACGCCGCGCACCTATCAAAAACTTAATTTATTCAGTATTATTTACTGTGTTTATAGTAAACGAACTATATCAGTAAAAACTTTATACTGTCTATTTTATTATGAAAAAAAATATTAAAAGTCCGAAATATTTATTTTTCATATTAAAAAATAAACTTTTTGAAACCCTTGCATTTTTGCCGTATATCCAATGGGGGTGGGATATATGGGTACTCATAGGGGCAGGGGTATGGCTCATGACAAATTTACAAATAATGCATATAAATAAGACGTGTAATGACGCAATAACTTATAAAATGTGTTTATAAAGTTTTATTAAGGATGGTAAATATGTACATGAAGTAATAAATAATAATTACAATCTTCCTACATGATATGACAAGTGTTATGACATGAGGTACATATTTCATATAATGCGTTTATTGTATTTAGTGCACTGAATTCAATCTGCGCACTTTGTATGCTTTGGGCATAAATCCCGTTCGCTAAAAATACCATATATCCCAAATAAGTGGGATATACAGGACAACAAACTAAACAAAGAATACGAAAGCAAAGCACTTGTATTTTGCTGCACAACATGCTTTACTATTCCACTACACGTATGTATCACGAAATAATCACTAAGTCTTTTACACGCCCTACAGTAATCATTTTATATCAGATTATAATTCATGATGGCATTACTTATTATAGTGACAAATCCATTCAACTCACAATAATTTCATTAATATTAACAGTAAGAAGCTGAAATCATAACACAAAACTAATATAACATAAAGGCATGTAACAGAGTAGTTGCGAGAAAATTACTCCTTTTATTTTTTCTGACTTCTGCGGCGTAAATTTCAGCGCGGCGTATTTGCCGGAGTTACCCTATGTTTTTCAACTAGAAACAAACAAAATGCATTTGTTCAACATTTTTAGCAATTGTTAAGCAATTTTGTATAATATTTTACATCCTACTTATTGATATACTGTTATTTTCTGTAAAGTGCGTCATTTCTTTCTTTCTCGTTTTCTGAAAATTACAAATTTCGGACAAAACGCATTTTGAAAGTCTGCTTCTCATTTATCTATTCTATTGTGCATATGTTATCTGTTGCCATATATATTTCTAATTTTCAAAAATTACATTTCTAATTTCGCATTCTACGATTTTTTAAATATAATATTTGGCAATGGAAACGGGCACATTCCCAATCATGTCATTGTGCTAAAATAAAATATCCCACGTCATCAATTATACGTTTTTACGTCTGTTGCTAAACCTAACGTACGCTAGGGTAATACGCGGTGGTTAGTT